TATAACATTATATCTATCTATATACTATATATCATCTATACATATATGTGTGTGTGTGTGTGTGTGTGTGTGTGTGTGTTGTGTGTGTGTGTGTGAATTTATATATATTTTTTATGTATGTACATAAATTATCTATATATATATATATCTATATAAATCTATATATATATAGATATATCTATCTACTATATAATATCTATATCTACTATTATAATATATATCTATACCTTATCCTATTTCTATTATATATATATATATGTATCTATCTATATTCTATGTCTATATAATCTATATATTATCCATATTTCTTTTTTTTATATGCATATGGATGTACATATATATGTATCCATTTTATATATATACTATATTGTCTATGCATGTATATACTATATATATATTATATATACTATCTATCTATATATTCTATCTATATATATATTGTATATCAATATATCTCTCATATATCTATATATAATATTATTATAATATATATATGATACATATCTATATATATATATTATATATAATATATATAATATATATATTACCCATTTATAACTAGAATATAGAATATATATATATATCATATATATATCTATCTATCCATATTATATATTTCTCTATCATATATACTCTATATCTCTCCTATCTATTATGAACAAATATCTACCTGTGTGTGTGTTGTGGTGTGGGTGTGTGTGTGTGTGTGTTGTTGTGTGTGTGTTTGTGTGTTCTGTGTGTGTGTCTTATGTCTCTCAATCTCTCTCTCTATCTCTCTCTCATAAAGCTCTCTATCTCTATCTCTCATACTCTCTCTCTCTCTCTGGTCTCTCTCGTGTGTCCTCTCTCTCTCTATCTCTCTCGTATCTCTCTATATCTCTCTCTCTGTATCCTCATGTCTCTCTCTGTCTCTTCTGTATCTATCTGTCTCTCTCTCTCTCCTCTCTATCTCTCTATCTATCATCTCTCTCTCTCTCTATCTCTCTCTCTCTCTCTCTCGCCTCCAGCTCTTCTACTCGTCTCTATTACTCCCCATAAATTCACTCTTCCTCTACTTTCTCTTCGCTTCTCTTTATGGTCTCTCTCTACTCTCTTCTCTCTCTCTACTCTTCCTCTCTTCTCTCTCTCTCTCTCTCTATCTCTTTTTCTCTCTCACTACGTCCTCTCTCTCTCTCTATCTCTTCTCTCTCTCTCTATCTCTCGTCTCTCTCTAGCTCTCATCTCTCTCTATATAATATATCTCTATAAAGACATCTCTGCATCTCTTCTTCTATCTCTCTCTATATCTACTCTACTATCTCTATATATATTATCTATCATCTCTCTCCTTGGTATATAACCTATCTGTAATATCTACTCTCTCTACTCTCTCGTCTCTTCTCTATCTCTATCTATTATCTATCTATACTCTCTGTCATCTCTT